AACGATACTCCGGGGCACTTCTCTATCCAATTATCTACACGCCCTCCGGCAAACGGGCCCCTTATCCCCATATACAGATACTACATATAGTCAAATATTATATATATATATATATATATATATATATATATATATATATATATATATATATATATATATATATATATATATATATATATATATATATATATATATATATATATATATATATATGTATGTATATCCCTGAAACGATCAGTAGAGAAAAAGTATTTAAAGAATCGTAGGCGTATTTAGGAAGCAACTATGTTTCAGTTCATAAGACAAGATTGTGGGGTACAAAATCTTTACGTTCATAAAACCTCGTTAGTGATAGAAATAATAATGAAGTTGGGAGTCTATTTTTAACTTATCTTAAAAATGTGCATCCCAGTCATTGTTGGGCATTCTGTTTCTTTCTCACAAATGTTAATGTCAGTTGTAAGAGAACTACGGGCAGACGTAAGCCAAAATCTCCTCTTTCGCCAACCAGATTAGCCGATAGACAGATTTCCCTCCATGTTGATCGATTGGCTGCATAAATAATTCACTGTCTCGATGGATTCTTGCCAGCCCCAACCCCCCCCCCCCCCCCCCCCCTCTCTCTCTCTCTCTCTCTCTCTCTCTCTCTCTCTCTCTCTCTCTCTCTCTCTCTCTCTCTCTCTCTCTCTCTCTCTCTCTTTCTCTCTCTCTCTCTCTCTCTCTCTCCACCTCCTTTATTCCACCCGGGTTTCCTGTTATTATTGATCTCGCCAGGCAGGGTTTTTCTGTGAACTGCCACAATGTGTAGTTCGTCTGGTGGTAAGGCCTAGGAGGAGGAAACGAGTTGGAATTCAGTTCCATCGTCAATATGATTGTGGGAAATACTTTGTGTCATCAATATGATTGTGTGAAATACTTTGTGTCATCAATATGATTGTGTGAGATATTTTGTGTCATCAATATGATTGTGTGAGATACTTTGTGTCATCAATATGATTGTGTGAAATACTTTGTGTCATCAATATGATTGTGTTAGATACTTTCCATCGTCAATATGATTGTGTGAGATACTTTGTGTCGTCATTATGATTGTGTGAGATACTTTGTGTCGTCAATATGATTGTTTGACATACTTTGTAAACGGCCTCCTGCAATGAGATAGGGTAAGTTGACGCTATTTGTGTTCGACTTTTCTTTATTTTGACCTCGATTTAGGGTTCTGATGCAAGATTGAAGACTGTCCCGTCCTACTCTAACACTAAGACTGGACTCGAGATCTTGGGAGATTTTCTATATTCCTTGACCGATCTATTGGATGCATTGTATACGTAAGTGTAGATTTTCTATATTACTTGACCGATCTAGTAGTACTAGAAGTATGGTGTACGTAAGTGTAGGGGAAAGGTGTTTCCGCATGACACATTTTGACCACAATACTGAAGAAATGTTCCAACTCGTCTCAAGGTCATCGTAAGAATTGCCGATCTGAGAGAAAATAGGCTAGATCTAGTGTCTAACATTATTGTTCTTGTGGATTGTAGTGAACTAGGTTTTGACCAGACCGCAGACACCTAGGAAGGCCAAGGTCGAATTATCCGCTTCACATCCAGCACTCACATCGACTGCACACGCGCGTTGGAGTTGGGAGTGGGAAAAGCCGTGCCATAAAGGTCGATATCGATTGATTTTTTCCTGAAACCTGTCGGTCACACTACTACCGGCGTCTCTCTGTCTGTCTGTCTGTTCCCCCCTTCTTTCTCTCTCTCGCTCTCTCTCTCTCTCTCTCTCTCTCTCTCTCTCTCTCTCTCTCCCCCTCCTTTATTCCACCCGGGTTTCCTGTTATTATTGATCTCGCCAGGCAGGGTTTTTCTGTGAACTGCTACAATGTGAAGTACGTCTGGTGGTAAGGCCTAGGAGGAGGAAACGAGTTGGAATTCAGTTCCATCGTCAATATGATTGTGGGAAATACTTTGTGTCATCAATATGATTGTGTGAAATACTTTGTGTCATCAATATGATTGTGTGAGATATTTTGTGTCATCAATATGATTGTGTGAGATACTTTGTGTCATCAATATGTTTTTGTGAACGCCTTTGTGTCATCAATATGATTGTGTTAGATACTTTCCATCGTCAATATGATTGTGTGAGATACTTTGTGTCGTCATTATGATTGTGTGAGATACTTTGTGTCGTCAATATGATTGTTTGACATACTTTGTAAACGGCCTCCTGCAATGAGATAGGGTAAGTTGACGCTATTTGTGTTCGACTTTTCTTTATTTTGACCTCGATTTAGGGTTCTGATGCAAGATTGAAGACTGTCCCGTCCTACTCTAACACTAAGACTGGACTCGAGATCTTGGGAGATTTTCTATATTCCTTGACCGATCTATTGGATGCATTGTATACGTAAGTGTAGATTTTCTATATTACTTGACCGATCTACTAGTACTAGATGTATTGTGTACGTAAGTGTAGGGGAAAGGTGTTTCCGCATGACACATTTTGACCACAATACTGAAGAAATGTTCCAACTCGTCTCAAGGTCATCGTAAGAATTGCCGATCTGAGAGAAAATAGGCTAGATCTAGTGTCTAACATTATTGTTCTTGTGGATTGTAGTGAACTAGGTTTTGACCAGACCGCAGACACCTAGGAAGGCCAAGGTCGAATTATCCGCTTCACATCCAGCACTCACATCGACTGCACACGCGCGTTGGAGTTGGGAGTGGGAAAAGCCGTGCCATAAAGGTCGATATCGATTGATTTTTTCCTGAAACCTGTCGGTCACACTACTACCGGCGTCTCTCTGTCTGTCTGTCTGTTCCCCCCTTCTTTCTCTCTCTCGCTCTCTCTCTCTCTCTCTCTCTCTCTCTCTCTCTCTCTCTCTCTCTCTCTCTCTCTCTCTCTCCCTCTCTCCTTCATCTCTCACGACGTTCTCTCTCTTTCCCTCCTTCGTGGAGTGTTGTCTTCTTTTTCCATCCTCTCTTCGTGGCGTGTTGTCCTCTTTCTTCTTCATCTCTTTTATACCTTCTCAGCCTCACTCTCGAATCTGCATTCCTTCATCATTATTTACTCTCACCTCCAGTCAACTCTCACAGCATCTCATTCTCTCCTTCTGTCCTCCCTTGTAGTGTTTCACTCTCCCTCTCTTCCCTCACCTCCTCTATATTCTCCCTCTTTTCCCTCATGGCCTCTCTATTCTCCCTCTCTTCCCTCACGGCCTCTCTATTCTCCATCTCTTCCCTCACGGCCTTTCTATTCTCCCTCTCTTCCCTAAAGGCCTCTCTATTCTCCCTCTATGCCCTCTCTTGCTGAGTCTCCCCATGTCTCAGTCCGTTCCTCTGCAACTCAATCTCACCCTCAGTGGCTCACTTTCACTCCCACTTTCTCTCAGTCCCCCCAAGCACATTCATTTCTCTCAGTCCCTCCAAGCACATTCAATGTCCATGCAGAAATGTATCGGTGTAGTCTATAGACAGTGCGAGGCCTCTATTGATCCGTGTGTGTGTGTGTGTGTGTGTGTGTGTGTGTGTGTGTGTGTGTGTGTGTGTGTGTGCGCGTGCGTGTGTGTGAGTGTGATTGTCGAAGGTGCACTGAGTGGTGACGATGCCTCTCTCTAGCTCAACCCACTCATGCGTTATAGGCTGTTCTTTCTTCTGTTTGGCTGCCATGGAAATAAGGCTTATTTATCTGGGTCACCCGACGATTGCTAGAGGAGATTTAAACGGCGTAATGGTGGAATATGTTTTTCGTACAGAAATACGGCATTTTCGCTAATCGATAGTTTTCTTACAAAGACAGAGAAGAATAACCATATATATATGCATAATATTGTTAAACTCGGACATGTAAAAAAAAAAGCTCGGGGCGGGGGTGGGGTTGTTTCTAAGAAATACAGTGCAGCCTCCGTAGAACGACCTTCGATATAATGACATCCTCTGTATAGCGACATGGTTCCCAGGTCCCAATTTTGTCCTTATATATCAGTAATAATTTGTGGTTTCTTCTCTATTACGACAATTCCCTATAACGACTTCTCTCTACAACGACAACTCTCTATACGAACTCTCTATATCGACAACTCTCTATAACAACAACCCTCTTTAACGACATCTCTCTATAACGACAACTCTCTATAACAACTCTCTATAACGACATCTCTCTATAACGATATCTCTCTATAAAGACAACTCACTGTAACAACTCTCTATAACGACATCTCTCTTTAACGACAACTCTCTATATCAATTCTCTATAACGACAACTCTCTATAACGACATCTCTCTATAACGAAAATTCTCGATATCGACATTTTTTTCTGGTCCCTACGATGTCATTATAGAGAGGCTGAACTGAACACAATACACTATGTATAGATTTGTGAATGATTTCATCGTGTTCCTTTGTTCCCCAGGACACATAATATACTATGTATACATTCGTGAATGATTTCATCGTGTTCCTTCGTTCCCCAGGAAAATGACTCCAGTACAGGAAGGGACACCGACTGCTTCTCCTCTTTTCCCCGCAGATTTTCTTCAACGCTTCACACCAAAGCAAGCAAGCAGATAAATACAGAACAAAAACAAGCAAACAAAAAACAAACGAACCAAACAATCCTAATACAAAAACAAAACGTCAGCAGCAGAAAACAAACAAACAAACACACAAACAAAAACAAAACACTAAAGAAAGAAAAGACGTCACTCAAGCAAATGTGCCTCCTGTCTATCTGAGAAAGGAAACGAAACAAGAGTTTGTTACCCTCCACTGTTACCTCAACAAAACAAAACAAGGGTGTGTCCCCCCGCCTCCCCTCCCCCACACACACGGAGGCTCGAGGTCATGGCTTTCTCACGGAACGTTTGGATTCTGCTGTGGAAAAACTTGGTCACTCAAAAACGCAAGAAATGCGTGTCTATATTCGAGATCTTGTTGCCTCTACTTTTTGCCCTCTTGCTCGTCCCAATTCGCCTGGGAAGCCCTGTGGAAACATACGACTTCAATACGATTTACGAACAAGAGGAGGTTTTGACCTCAGAGTCGCAGTAAGCCTTTTTTTTTTTAACAGCCTCTTTTGTTCAGTTTAGGCTATAGTATAGTTATGTCTTAGCCGATGCAATATCAACAGTTTAGTTTCGTTGTAGTGAGAGTTTTACGCACCACGCTTGCAACAAAAATAGTTCATAAAAGTGTCAAATATAAGAGGTGTCAACAGAGAGTAACATACACAACATGTGCAGTGAAAAGAAGGGAGGGGGGGGAGGGGAAAAGAAGGGATGT